CAAATTTCCTCTGTGATTGAGTTCAAGTTTGAAAGTATTGTGATCAGAAAATATGCAGGAAATGATCCCAGTCTTTTGGGACCAGTTGAGACCTGATTTGTGACCTAGTATGTGATCTATTCTGGAGAATATTCCATGTGCGCTTGGGAAGAATGTGTATTCTGTTGCTTTAGGACAGAATGCTCTGAATATATCTATGAAGTCTATCTGGTCCAGTGTGTCATTCAAAGCCCTTGTTTCCTTGTTAATATTCTGCTTAGGTGATCTGTCCATTGCAGTGAGTGTGGTGTTAAAGTCCCCTACTATTACTGTGTTATTATCAATGTGTTTCTTTAATTTTATTAATTGGTTTATATAATTGACTATTCCCATGTTAGGGGCATAAATATTTATAATTATTAGATCCTCTTGTTGGATAGATCCTTCAAGTATGATATAGTGTCCTTCCTCATCTCTTATTCTAGTCTTTGGTTTAAAATCTAATTTGCCTGACATAAGGATTGCCACTCCAGCTTTCTTTTGCTGCCCATTAGTATGATAAATGCTTTTCCACCCCCTCACTTTCAATCTAGAGGTGTCTTTGGATCAAAATGAGTCTTAACTGATAAATTATTGAACACTACATCTAAAACTAATGATGTACTACATGTTGGCTAATTGAATTAAAAGTAAAAAAAAAAAAAAAAAAAAAAAGGGCAAATGAGTCTCTTGCAGACAGGATATTGATGGGTCTTGCTTTTTTATCCAGTCTGTTACACTGTGTCTTTTGATAGGGCATTTAGCCCATTTACATTCAGGATAACTATTGAAAGATATGAATTTAGTGCCATTGTGTTACCCGTAAGGTCACTGTTTGTGTATATTGTCTCTGTTCTTTTCTGGTCTATGTTACTTTCAGGCTATCTCTTCACTTATAGGATCCCTTTAATATTTCTTGCAGGGCTGGTTTAGTGATCACAAAGTCTTTCAGTTTCTGTTTATCCTGGAAGCTTTTTATCTCTATTTTGAATGACAGCTTTGCTGGATAAAGTATTATTGGTGCATATTTTTCTCATTTAGCACCCCAAATATATCATGCTGGTCCTTTCTGGCCTTCTAGGTCTCTGTGGATGAGTCTTCTGCCAGTCTAATATTTTTAATTTTAGAGATTATGGACCTCTTGTCCTGAGCTGCTTTTAGGATTTTCTCCTTTTCTCCAAGATTTGCAAGTTTCACTATTATATTTTGAGGTGTTGGCCTATTTTTATTGATTTTGAGGAAGGTTCTCTGTGCCTCTGGGTCTTGAATGTCTGTTTCCTTCCCCAGATTAGGGAAGTTCTCTACTATAACTTGCTCCAATATGCCTTCTGCTCCCCTTTCTCTCTCCTCTTCTTCTGGGATCCCAAATACTCTAATATTGTTTCACTTTATGGTATCACTTACCTCTTGAATTTTTCTCTTGTGATCCAGTAGTAGTTTATCTCTCTTTTTCTCGGGTTCTTTATCCTCCATCATTTGGTCTTCTATATCACTAATTCTCTCTTCTGCCTCATTTATCTAGCAGTTACAGCCTCCATTTTTTTTTATTGCATCTCATTAATAACCTTTTAAATTTTGACTTGATTCGATTTTAGTTCTTTTTTTTTTTCTCCAAAAAAGGGATTCTCTAGGGTCTTCTGTGCTTTTTTCAAGCCCAGCTAGTATCTTTATAATCATTATTCTGAACTCTAGTACCAACATCTCACTTATATCCATACTGATTCAGTCCCTGGCAGTCAGTACTACTTCTTGTTCTCTTTTTTGGGGGTGAGTTTTTCCATCTTGCCCTTCTGTCCAGAGAAGAATAGGTGAATGAGAGAACAAAATACTAAAGTAGCATCAACAAACCGAGAGAAATATACACTACAAATCAGAAGAGACCCAAAACCAAAAAAAAAAAAAAAAAAAAAAAAAAAAGATAGAGAGTATAATCAGACTGGTGAACAGAACAGAGTAATACACTGGATCCTTGTGTGTATTTTGTTCTGTTTTTTTTTGTTTGTTTTGTTTTGTTTTTTTTAGAAAGCTAGATCCCAAAATTGTAAAGAAAGAAAAACTTATGTATGTACAAAAATAAAATTAAATACAATGAAAAGATAGAATGTATTTTAAAAATGAAAATTAAAAGGCAAAAAGGAAGGAATATAAACAGACAGGTGAAAAGAACAGAGCAATAAGCTATATCCTGGTTCGTTAGAAGAAACTACATCCCAAAGTTGTAAAAAAAAAAAGACTTGACATATATACAAAAATAAAATTAAATATTTGAAAGGGTAGAATGTAACTGTAAAAATGAAAATTAAAAGAAGACTTCAAAAAGTGTTGATAAAATAAGAAATTGGTTGATAAAGGAAAGAGAAAAATAATTAAAATTGAAAGACTAAAGAATCATGGGGGTAAAAAAACCATGAACTCTATATACTATTTTCTCCTAACACTGGAGTTTTATAGTTCTTTTAGTAGTGTGATCAGTAAACTTGGTCTTGGCTGGATGTTCTTGTTGATCTTCTAGGGGAGGGGCCCATTGCACTGATTCTCAAATGTCTTTGCCCATGGCGGAATTGCATTGCCTTTGCAGGGGGCCAGGCCAAGTGTGAGTTACTCTGGATTGTTCTACATGGCTTTTGTTCCCTGAAAGCTTTCTGTACAGCTTTAGAGGGTGAGAATGAACCTGGCGGCCTCCCAATCCCTGGCCCTGGAGGAGCTGAGAGCTCAGGGCCCCACTCCTCAATGCACCCTCAGAAAAAAGCAGTCAATCACTGCTGTCTCCACGGTCTCCAGCCACACTCCATGCTCACCTGGCCTGTGACTGAGCATTTCTATCTTAGGCACATGACCTTGTGACCCACTTCGATTCTCCAATCTCTGCAGACTCCTGTGGTGCACACCCATGCCACTACTCCCCGGGGAGGAAGCAGGGATCTCTCTGGTTCTGCTGCTTGATGGGCCCCTGCTCAGAGAGTGGTCGCCTGACCAGGCTACAGTTCATGGTTTATGGCAACCCAGACCTGAGAGCTACTAGGCTCACTCTTTGCAGCCAGCTTCCCTGCTCCCATACCTGGGAGCTCTGCCACACTCAGGCACCCCTGGTCTAACTGTGACTCCATGGATCCTGAGACCACACTATCCCACCTAGGATTCTGCCCTGCTTCACCACCTGAGCACCCTTCAGACAGAGTTCCCTCAGTGGAGCAGACTTCTAAAAGTTCTGATTCTGTGCTCCACTGCTATAACACTTTCTGGCCACCAGCTTCTGGAGTCTCCCTCCCCCCGCCCGTGGTCTATCTTCCCATATATTGCTTCAGATTCACTTCTCCGCACCTCCTACCTTGCAGAAACTGGTCAACTTTTCTATTTGTAGAGTTGCATCAGTTCTTTTCTTAGATCTCCAATTGAGTACGTAGGTGTTCAGAATGACTTGATGCCTATCTAACTGAATTCCTGGGGCCAGATGAAACGAAGATCTCCTACTCCTCCACCATCTTGGAATGTATCTCAAAGCTGGGATTTTGAGAGTAACCTTCATCTAACCATTTGGGTCCCCCAACATTTCATCCCATCACCACCTACATTGACCTCATCCTGAGTCTCATGTTTGTCATTCCTTTACTTTCCTTTATATGTCATTTTATTCCATTCATTAGTGTTTTGAAAAGGAAACTTAGTTAGAATTGTTTTTGACTTTCTAAAAGGACATAATATTATGTGTAATCCTTTGAGACTTTTTTATTGAGAAGATTCATCTATGTTGTGATATGCTGTACTACATGTTCTATTTGATATTCTAATGTGTAAAATATACTGTATTTATATCCTACTTGCATTTGGGTGTTTTCAGGATTTTAGTGTTGTGAAAAGAGCTGTTTTGGCATGGTTGGACATAACTCTTCATGCACATGTACAAGACTCTTTCTTGGGTAGGAGTAGAATGAATGGATCGTAGAGTGTATGAATGTTCGCTATTAGGAGGTAGTTCCAAAATGTTCTCCAGAGTTGGTTGCCCCAATTTTAACTCTCATTGGAATGTGGATCCACTATTTTTCAACACTTGGTATTGTTAGATTTTTCATTTTTCCTAGTTGAATGGGTATAAAATGGTTATTTCATCGGGGTTTTAATTTGCATTGCTCTGACCGCGAATGATGCCAAATGCCTGTTCTCGTGGTTATTGGTGCATGTGTGTGTTCCGCCACGAAGTGTACATTCTTATCTTTTGATCACTTCTCTGTTAGGTTGCTTGTGATTTTCTTAGTGGTTTGTAGGAGATGTTGAGCAGATTACTTGATCATTTGGGGGTCATTCCTACGTCTATATAAGTGGGATGATAATACAGTGTTTATAGCATTGATTTTAGGATTAAATAGGTGTTTATGTAAGGTACTGTGAATATTGGCATATAACATAATAGATACTCAAAAAAAAAAATGTCAGTTCTGACTCCCTCCTCAGCCTCACTTGCTCTGAAACTTCATTTGGTGGACGGACTTTGTCAGACTTTGCCCTTTTTGCTTAGTGGAGAATCTTTGCTTATTTGTGTGGCCAGTGTGGTCCTGCTAATGTTGTTGTGCCTTCGGGAATAAAGCAAGAGACTCTCAAGATGAACTCACACTCTTTGGGAGGAAATCTAGGAAAAGACCGTGGAAGTGAAGAACTTTAGTGGGGTCCTTGACAAAAATGAAGGGGAAAAAAATGTCAGTATAATTATTATGTTGGTCTCAATAGCTCTGCTTATAGATGTTTGAATCGTGTATTAGCAGGGCAGTCAGGAAAGTGAAGGATTTAAAAACTCTCCATAAGTATAATTAAACTGAAAATTTGCTACCAGGCAGAAGATTCTCTGATGATGATGGGGAGCCAGGGGTCAAGAAGCCCTACAACACTCGAGGCTTTCGTCTCCCTGCTGCTGGAAGCTACTTCCACAGCACTTTTGAGACTGCTGCCTGGTCACGCGGAGAAGCTACACTGGGAAGCAGGGAAACTATTAGGGGAAGAGCCTGAAGGACACCAGAAGATGCTATGTAGTTACTGCCTCCTGTTCCTGCCTTTGTGTTTTTGAGTGTTGAATTCAAAGAGAGTATCTGGACGCAGTAGTAGAGGAATCGCTTTTAGCACCCTGGATCTTTCTTGTGTCTCATTGAGATTATTCCTGGAGGAATGGAAGCTGGAATGTCAGTGCTCCCGTACCTTTGAAATAGCTGCATTGCAGCATGCCATCTTTCATCTGTCTCTATCTGTGTTCAAAGTCCCTCTTAGGATTTGGAGGTAACATTTCTGTATTCCTAATGTTAATGATACCTAGGAGAAGTGACCATCTTTAGTGATTATAACTCTGAATTTGATAAATATTGAAGCAATGCCATGTGTAAATTCAACCGGGGAAATGTGGAAATGATTCTCTGTGCAGGATGCTTCTTAAAATGTTTGTTCATTCAATGCTATGCTAATTGTTCTCTGGGGTTTTTTGTTTGTTGGGTTCTTTTGTTTTGTTGTTGTTGTTGTTGTAGTTGTTGTTGTTTCCTGGTTTGAAAGCTCTGCTTTGCAGCTTTTAGTAGGAAAATCTGGAATTGAGAGCAGATGCAAGCTAGCTACAATGTCATCTCACCTTTCCCTCTGTCCTTAGTACCTGCCTGTCTGACTGACTGATTCTCTGGAATTCTGTGCCCTAATGACACATGCTTAAGAGTTTGGAAATAGTTTTTATCTGTGATGGCAGCTTCAATTTAGGAAGTGGTTAAGAGAAAAGTTTGAATGCTCCCCGAAGACAAGAATAGCCAGTACTTATGCTTAGCCTTTGCAATTCACGAATGATAATGTGTTTTTCCTTTGTGCCGAGAATTATACAGAAGAATACTGAAACATAAATATATCTTGTAAGTAACTGCAAAAACAGCTTTATTTATTTATTTATTTTTTTAAAAGATTTTATTTATTTATTTGACAGACAGAGATCACAATTAGGCAGAGAGGCAGGCAGAGAGAGAGGAAGGGAAGCAGGCTCCCTGCTGAGCAGAGAGCCCAACACTGGGCTCGATCCCAGGACTCTGGGATCATGACCCGAGCTGAAGGCAGAGGCTTCAACCCACTGAGCCACCCAGGCGCCCCCCAAAACAGCTTTATTAACACATGAACAGAGATGAGACTTTAGAAGAAGGGAGCTGCCCATTAGTCAACCTGGGAACCTATCTCAGGCTCAAGATTCTTATGTGTGGCTCCTCCGGTGGCTTTGTAGGCCTTTCGTTGATTGTTGGGAAATGAATTTTAGTGATTGGTGCTGGCAGTGAGTAATGAGCAAGACGTATATACAGACACGGCGGTAAGCTCAGAAATTTTTCAGTGGGCTCTTGTTGAAACTTTCTGATCTTGATGTTTTTCACACAGGGAGTCCCTAATGTTTGAGGAGGCTGTTTCCTCTCTATGTCACGTGTCTCAACTTTGATACAATGTACCTTTTAGTTGCAAATCAGTAAGAAACTATTTGTCCAGAAAGCCCAAATCTTGCACCTGATAGGAGATGGGTCTGTAGTTTTAGTCACATTTTATGTGTAAGGATATTAAGACCTAGAGAGGTTGTGAACTGTTCTAAGTTAAATAGGAAATGGCAGAACAAACAGAGGGAACTAAGAACAGAAACCAGGTGTCTCCCCAGTGGCTGGGAACTTCCCCTATAAACAGTAATCCCTCCTGTGCTGGTGCTGATCTTCCGGACTTAGGGGGCTGCATTGGAATCCAGTGGGAGCGCCTGGAGAGGTAATGGCCAAGGCAGGTTCTCAAGGGCTTTTACAAGGGAGACAGAAGAGGGTAGAAATGATGTAACAGACCATATGAGTCATGTCACAGGTGCTAGATTCAGTGGTTTGCTAAGAGGACTCGGGATTCAGCATACAGTTGTGCTCATGGCTAAGATTTTTTGCAGGGAAATGACACAAGGCAAAATCAGCAAAGGGAAAAAGTACCTAGGGCAACATCCTGGGAAAACCAGGTGCAGGCTTTCAGATGTCCTTTCCCAGTGTAGTCACATAGGATTGTGTTTCATTCCTCCAGCAAGACCGTGACAACACATGTAAGATGCTGTCTACCTGGGAAGCTTATTACAGACTCAGTGTCCAGGATTTGTACTGGGGGCTGGTCACATAGCTAGCCTCTGCTGTGCACATAGCAAAATTCCAGACTCCCAAAAGAAAAGTACACATTTGGCATAGACTGCATCATTTTGTACTAACGGTTTGGGCACAGTGAGCCACCCCCCATCAGTCGGGGAGCAGTAGGATCTCTCCGAAAATCCCAGTTTCCGGACAGCAGCCAAAAGTCAGCCTTACAAGGGGACTCTCCAAGGACAGCATCTCAGGCCTGCTGTGGTAACTGCTCCACAGGAGCAACGGTAGTTAAGTTCTTCCAAAGATTTTATCAGAGAGAGTTGAAGGAAGAATAAACAGATTGGAGGTAAGGAATGAAGGAGTAGGAAGATAATTTGCAAGTCTGGGAGATGAACTACATGGGAAGGTCTTTTGGGGTGTATGTGTGTGTGTCGGTGTCTGTATGTGTGTGTTTCCCCTGACAGAAGAGGATTATTTAGGAAGAGTGGCTGGATGGGAAGGGGAAATGTTCTACATTGTGAATATACTAACTCCGAGATGACAGAGGAATCAAATTAGAACTTTTTTTTAACCACAAATGAAATACACTCAAGATATTGGTAAATTACATTAAAAATTGATCTTTTTTAAAAGATTTTATTCATTAATTCATGAGAGAGACAGGGGCAGAGGCAGAGGGAGAAGCAGACTCTGCACTGAGCAGGGAGCCCGATGTGGGACTCGATCCCAGGACCCCAGGATCATGACCAGAGCTGAAGGCAGACTCTCAACCTACTGAGCCACCCAGGAACCCAGAAAAACTGATTCTAATATGACATTCATGTCATGGCACATTCCTGTATCATGCTTATGAAATGAGAATAAATCACATAATTAAGGAATTATTGTTAAGGGGGAATTTTGACTTTGTATTAGCTGTGAAGAACACGCTGTTAAAAGATATAATTTTAACATGAAAATATTATTAATGTTATTAAAAGTATATATTAGGCAATTTTTTCCTAAGGACCTGAATTAGCTTCTACTTATCACTCATCAAAATTGGTAATTCTTTACCCGAGTTGTCTAACCTAGTCTTGATTTAGAAAAACAACAACAACAACAACGCACAAGTAGCTAATTTTTCCTTATTTGTTTGTAAGTATTATGTGAATAATAAGAATTATAATAAGAATTCCCTAGAGCTCCCCCCTCTCCACCATGGGAGAAAGGTCCTGATGGGTATAGATTTAGAACGAGAACATTAGAAATGTTGTCTTTGGGGGTAACATGAAATACTGTGGATCCTGTTAGTCTTTGTACCAAAGTGAAACAATGTGTGTATGTGGGCTTCTAAACATTCTAACATAAAATCTCTTTCTTACTGATTATCTATATAATCTGGGCAAATGTTGGCCATATCTCTAGCCCCATAGTGGCTTCTAAGAGTTCATAGTTATATTTCCTTCCTGTAGTTATTAAAGTAAATATTCAAATCCTGATTTTTGCTTTTGATCAGAACTGGCACCATTTTATTTAGCCAAAGCAGCTTCTCTATATTCTTCATGGGTGTGTGTTTTTTAGAAGAAGCTTCTCTCTTATTTGTGGGGGTAGACAATTGAGTAACAGGTTTGGGGTATTTTTTTTTTTTTTCCATTTAAGTAGGCTCCACACCCTCTGTGGAGCCCAACACAGGGTTTGAACTCATGATCCCAAGATTAAGACCTGAGCTGAGATCAAGGGTCAGGTGCTTAATAACTAAGCCACCCAGGTGTCTTTTAGGTATTTTTTAAAATTGCATATGTGTGTGGGACATATGGGGATGAAGTGGTTGTACAGTAATATGAACAGAACTCCTTCATAAATATGTATTGTGGAGATGACATTCTTATGTTACACAAATTGGATGCATCAGGATTTTAAATGTCACCTTTGGATTTAATGCAAGAAGTTCCTGACAGGCATTTTCCTGACTTTCCTTAGAAGGGACCCTGTAGCCATAGAAACTTGCTTCCAGTTACTTGCTGCCAAAGAGGGTGGTTTCTCTCCTTCCCTTGTCCGTGCCCTCCCAGTTCCCACCTGCTCCTGTTCCCCTGAGCTCGTGCCCTCTCTTCTGGATGTCAGGACTCATGGCGGCAACAAGTCGGGGGATGGCATGGGGGAACCCCTCATGCTATGTGGTCTCACAAAATGGAAGACCAAGGACATGATCAGAGGACTGTCTTCTTTATCTTCCATTGACTCTTTTTTTTTTTTTTTTAAAGATTTTATTTATTTATTTGACAGAGAGATCACAAGCAGGCAGAGAGGCAGGCAGAGAGAGAGGAGGAAGCAGGCTCCCTGCTGAGCAGAGAGCCCGATGCGGGGCTCGATCCCAGGACCCTGAGATCATGACCTGAGCCGAAGGCAGCGGCTTAACCCACTGAGCCACCCAGGCGTCCCTCTTCCATTGACTCTTTTATGCGTTGCAGGTTGTTAAACCTCATATCCTGCTTTGCTCTAAAGCACACTTGAGGTAGGCATCCCCGTTATTAAAATAGAATAAATGGTAGAGAAAGTCAGGGTTCAAAGGCAATATGGGAGAGAAAAATAAAGCCAGGGCAAGCTGCGTGGGACAGATGGATTCCTTAGGGCCTCGTGCTGTGGACAGAGGTGGGCTGTGGATTTGGTTCTTAGGTTCCTAGAAGTGAAAATGAAGAGGGAGACATGGTCAGTTACAGATTTGAGACATCTGTAAGATAAAAACCCAAGTTTTTCTTCTTCTTCTTCTTCTTTTTTTTTTTTTTAAAGACTTCATTTATTTGACAGGCAGAGATCATAAGTAGAGGCAGGTGGAGAGAGAGGAAGGGAAGCAGGCTCCCCACTGAGCAGAGAGCCTGATGTGGGGCTCAATGCCAGGACCCTGGGATCATGATCTGAGCTGAAGGCAGAGGCTTTAACCCACTGAGCCACTCAGGTGCCCCAAAAAACCCAAGTTTTTCTAATACTAAAACCTAAGAAGACTTTCTTCCATGGATGCTTTTACAAAGTAGCGTAAAAGACAATGATCTGATGGGCAACCTTGTAACAGAGGTAGGAAAACTCACATATGCTAATGACCTCATCAGTATGTACTTATTTACATGCCGCACAAGCCTCATTGAGGAGCTGCAGTTCTCAAGTACAGTGATTCCAAATACACACTTCTGT